GTGATCACAAGATAGTTTATGTGGTCTTACAATTTCAGAATCTTTAGGCTGACATGGTCTCCATTTCCTGATCAGTAGAGAACATTGGAAAGTACCCTAGGTTACAGGTTTCTTAAAATATCGTATCTCTCTTTGTTTAATCTGTTTATTACATGTGCTAATTAACAGTGCATAAGGTAATTTTCATAAGTGGGTGAATTTACAGTAAGTCTAATGCTTACAGATTCCCAGAAATTTGGGAGTGATAGGCCTGGGAGAGAGAAATGACGTGGGAAGTGACAGGTCTAAGAGGAAAAGTATGGCTTCCAGATTAAAGTTATATTTTTCTTGTCCTTCCTTTGGTCTCCTTTCTTTCTTTTATATTTCTTCTATCCTACCTTAATATGATATTGAAAAATTAACTTCCCTGGATCTCAGTTACATATGGAGTTATACCTCCACCAGAGGACACTGGGCTAGATGATCAAAGGCCCCTGCAGTGGTAACTTTCCACGGGAAAGCTATTTAAACAGCTTCTCCATTCAGATAAGAGTGGACAGCTTTACTCTGAGATAATGGCAGCTCATTCAAGGAGAATGGACAGCAAGCACTGGGGGAAATGGGGCTAGAGCTTACTGTGAAGTGGAGGGGTGTAGAAACAGATTTTGAGGTGAGGGTCGAGAATGAAAGAGCTCCCAAAGAGAAAGTATAAAGGCTAGAGTAAAGGGTTATGGACACTTTTAGAAGAGAACAGACAGGCTGGAAACACTGTAAAAGAAATAAGACAACCTTAACTGGTTAACAGCAGAGCTTAGGGTAACTTTGGAGAGAAAATGTTTCAAGGAAAAGAGATCATTTTGAGGACTGGGGCTGTGGCTCAGTGGTAGAGCACTTGCCTAGCACATGTGAGGCACTGGGTTCAATTCTCAGCACCACATAGAAATAATGAATAGAATAAAGGTCCACCAACATCTAAAAAATAATATTTCTAAAAAAAAGAGATCATTTTGACAACTGTTCTAAGAAGAAATTTCTTATCAACATTGGTAAATTCACTTCCCTTACTAACCTGCAGCCCTAACCAGACAGACCTTCCTTCACTCCCTAGGCTGTGAAACTTCATGGGGGTATTGATATTCTGGTCTCCAATGCTGCTGTCAGCCCTTTCTTTGGAAGCCTGATGGATGCTACTGAGGAAGTGTGGGACAAGGTGAGAGAGCATAAAGCAGCAGGGGTCAGTCAAAAAACATTCAGCCCAAACTTGGTCTGTTTTTAGATGCCTTTGTCAAGTGCCACATAAATGTGATATGCCACACACCTGGCATGCACCTTGTAAAGGGCAAATAAGGGGGTGGCTTCCTCTTTCCTGTTATTCTTTTTCATTTCTGCTTTGAGGCTCTTTGGTTGTTGTTGTTTTGTTTTTCAGTCCTGTGGGCCTTATGGCAAGGCAAGGGTTCTACCACTGAGCCACACTCCCAGCTCATCTCAGTTTTATCTTCTTCCATTTGCTCTGTGCTGGCCACCTTCTCTTTCCCTTCCCCAGCTCTCTCTCCAAGCACACTTAGCCACGTCTTTCTTCCTGGTTTATTTCCCACAGAGACATGGCAGCTAAAAGGCCAACAACTTACACACCCACCCATCTCTTTTCAGCTGCCAAAAAAGAATGCTTTTTCATTAGTTGAAAATGTTAATAGCTGTTAGTTAAATGAAATACCGATTCTGGTGAAATGACCAGAGTTTCTGCTGTTTTATATCAGGGAAAGATCTGGAGTTTTTTGTTTTGTTTTTTCTTCTTTAATATTTTGTCCCTTAGTTGTTGGTAGATCTTTATTTTATTTACTTATACATGGTGCTGAGAATCAAACCCAGTGCCCCACACATGCTAGGCAAGTGCACTTCCACTGAGCCACAGTCCCAGCCATTGTTTTTTCTTCTTAATTGCAGTATTAAGAAAATCTGAGATCCAGATTTCTAAATCCAAGTGCTAGAATATTTGTTTTTATGTGAACATGTATGATTGCATCATGCTCATATTTTACACACCTACATCCTCTAATTATAAAACTTTAATTAAAATATTTAACTTAATTTACTAAGACAAACATTTCCACATGATTTGAAATGCTAAATTTCTTATGATCTCCTCTGGTTTTGTTTTTTTACTCAGATATAATTTCTCAACAGCAAAGTATAAGAAACTAAAATATTATAATTTATCAACTTTGCACGCACATAAAGACCAAAGTGCGAAAATGTTCCTCAGTGAGCCAGATCCTGATGTTGATATTCTTTAAAGAAACATCTTTCAGGGCTGGTGATGTAGCTCAAGCGGTAGCGCACTCGCCTGGCATGCGTGTGGCCCAGGTTCGATCCTCAGCACCACATACAAACAAAGATGTTGTGTCTGCCGAAAACTAAAAATAAATATTTAAAAAAAAAAATCTTTCATGAAGTCTAAATAGAGACCACATGAAAATCAGCTTTTAATCACATAGTCTTTCTTTTTAGTTTATATATTTTTAATATAATGGCGCACCACACCTAAATGCAATGATTGATCCTTAATTATACTCTTAATTTTTAAAAAATCTTTGTTTTGGGACTGGGATTGTGGCTCAGCGGTAGAGTGCTTGCCTAGCACCGGCGGGACCCGGGTTCGATCCTCAGCACCACATAAAAAATAAAGGCATTGTGTTGAGTCCATCTACACCTAAGAAATTTAAAAAAAAAAATCTTTGTTTTATTTATTTATTTTATGTGGTGCTGAGGATTGAACCCAGAGCCTCATGCATGCAAGGCAAGCTCTTTACCACTGAGCCACAACCCCAGCCCCTATACTCTGAAATTTTTTAAGAAAGAAATTTGGGGGACATTTGGGAAAAGTTTATTACGGGCATTGCAATAAATGAAATGTATTATTGTTAAATTTCTCAAGTATGATAATGAATTGTGGTTGTGCAAAAGAATCTTCTTATTCTTTAGCAATGTGTTTTAAAGTATCTAGGGATAGAGCATTATCATGTCTGTAGCTTACCTTCATTGGTTCATTTTTTAAAAAACTATGGATACATAGAAAAGAGAAATGGAGCAACATGTGAACAATGGGTGAATTCAGGTGAGGGACAGCTGGATATTCACTACACTTCTATTTCAACTTTTTATAAGATTGAAAATTTTCAGAATAAGAAACTGGCTTAGGGGCATAGGAGAGAAATATCCCAGGAGTGTTTAGAACACTGTAAGCAAGATCATACATTTGCTTTAAATTTGGGATGTGGGTGTTTTGATTGTAGCCTGTGCTTCCCCAAAAAGTACTTCCTCATGATCCCACTTTCCGATAAATGACCAGCCAGACAGTCCATCTTGGAGGGCCAAGAGCAATCCACTCCCTGCACCCAGAAGCCAGAAGAGTGCTAAAACTACCCTGTGCTGCCCACTCTAAGGCAGGTCTAGGAGGCGATCGAATTCCAGACTCTCCCTACTTTGAAGAAACATAGAAAACCCAGCTCAAATCCAAAGCAGCCTGGAGAGTTTTCATTCATTCTGAGCCAAATCACACTTGGCTAGTTAGAAAGGATTAACTCTCTCCATTCTTCCACACTTGAACATAGCTGAATGAGCTAGTAAGAAGGACCTCCCCCTAAGCCCAGGGTTCTTCCCTTGTCAGGTCCAGGTAAATGATCCCTGAAGTCTCTACCAGCTCTAACCAGCAGAGCCAGGTGCCCACTGTGCCTACTCATCATCTGCTCCTCCATGTCCTTCTCATGCTATCTCCCCTTCTTTCCATTTCAGGTTCTGGATGTTAATGTGAAGGCTACAGCCCTGATGACAAAGGCAGTGGTGCCAGAGATGGAGAAGCGAGGGTACCATGAGTGAGAGGGAGCCTGGGTGAGATGGGGCCCTCCACAGGCAGAGGGCAGTGGTTTATGCCAGGAAGATGTCAGTTTTCTTTTTTTTTACAGAAGTGGCTCAGTGGTGATTGTGGCTTCCATAGGAGCTTTCACTCCGTTTCCTGTAAGAACCCCTTTGCCTGCCACATTCCTCCCACTCTCCATCCCAAGTCTTTCCATTTCTCCAGTTCCCCTAAAGTATGTGTCCCCTTTCAGAATCACACCACCACACCCCTTCCCACAAAATAAATGACTTGCCTCCTGAACTCTAACCTAGAGGTAGAAACAAGATGGTTTCCTCCTACCGTCCTTTACAAAAGATGCCTCATTAACTGCTGCCCTTGATGTCAAATGAGAACCAAGAATGACCTGGAAACTAAGAGACCACCTGTTCTCTTCTCTCCCCAGGGCCTGGGTCCTTATAATGTTAGTAAAACAGCCTTGTTGGGCCTTACCAAGAACCTGGCCTTAGAGCTGGCCCCAAAGAACATTAGAGTGAATTGCCTGGCACCTGGACTCATCAGGACCAATTTCAGCAGTGTGGTGAGGAAGGGGAGCTCTGCATCTCCCTGGGACCCCTGGAAGGGCATTCATCTTTTTGGATAGGGAAACTCAGTACCTGAATCCTGAGCTATCACCCATTTCCATACCTCCTTCCTAGGCTTTTCTATATTCCCTCTTTATACCAGCCACCTTCCCCAGACCAGAGTCCCCCACACTCCTTTCCTGAGCTGTAGTAATTCTGACTCTACTCATACTGTTTCATGTCTTCTGAAGTTAATGAGAACTGGTGAGACCCAGCAAGATGCCTCCCTAACTCCTGAAAAGAATGAAACAGAGAAGGGCAGTGGGGAGTTGGGAGCCAAGAAGGAACTGGAAATGAAAGGGGGCATCTCTCCATCCTTCCTCCCCACTGACATGGGAACAGACAGTTTCTTTCCCTCACTGCCCCTCAGTTTCCTCTTACCATAAACAGATTCCCCTTTTTCCTGCAGTTGTGGAAAGACAAGGAAAGAGAGGACAGAATGAAAGAATTCATGCATATCAGAAGGTAAGCTGTCAGAGAGGACTAGGAGGGATAAAGATGAAAAGTTCTGTCCCAAAAAAGTTCTGTCACAGCCCATAGCTTACCACCTCACTCCCATAAGGAACACGGGCATCCCCTCCTCTGCTTCCCAAACTTCTCAGTTTCATAAACTCTACTCTTCCAGTGGTCTGGCCAACAAGGCTGCTGTTTCCACTGCAAAAAAAAAAAAAAAAAAAGCAGAGGCATTAGGGTTTCAGCAGAGTGGAGCTCTAGGACAGGTCCTCCTCTTTACTGTCTACCTCCACCCCTGGGCATTCATAGAGACTAGAAACCAAAATCAAAACTGAGACTATTGTAGTTCTTCTTGAATAAAAAGTCACATTTCCAAAGCTCAGGTTGGTGATCCCACAATCCAAATAAAAGAAATGAAGAGCTTTACTAAGGCTCAAACTCCTCTTCCCTAGGGGGCTGGCTGAAGTATTCAGACACCTTTGTTGGGTTCCCTTTCTTAAGTGACCTGCCTCTCTCCACCTTCTGGCTTCTGGGCACTCTTGTCTTTAGCATCTCCAGTATGACCCCTCAAGGACAAATGCCAGCAATACCTACCTCTTTACTGGTCTAAACATCCCAGAATCCCTCAAGTTCTTCCAAAGCCATTCTGATATGGCTTTGGAAAAAAATTTTTTTTTCCCATACTGGGAATTGAATCTAGGGGCACTTTACCACTGAACTATACCCCCCAGCCCTTTTATTTTGAGATAGGGTTTCACTACAATGCCCAAGCTGGTCTCCAACTTGTGATCCTCTCACTTCAGCCTCCCAAGTTGCTGGAATTATAGACAGCCCTGGCTTAGGGAGTTTTTTAAACTTCAGTGGCTCAGACCTATTGCCCAGAGATTCTTCTTTAATTGATCCATGGTGGTGCCTACAAATCTTTTTTCTTTCTTCATTTATTTGTTGTTGTCATTGTTTTGCCTCCCAAATGATTGCAATGTACAGGTAGCTCAGAGAACCACAATCCCAAGCCTTCTAGGTTTGAGTTACTTACTCTACCCACCTCAAGAGTATTCTACAGCAGTTTAAGTGTTTCCTAACTATGAGATCATTCATACAAACAATGAGAATTAGCACATTCTTACAAAGCAAACTAGACTTTAAGGGACAAAAATAGACTTGAAAAAGTCCTGAAGAGCTTATAAATGGAATCATTTTAAACCACTATTTAACTTTGGATTTTGGTGTCCTGAGCTCTCTAAGAAACAGAATGTCTATTATTTAAATATAATGTGTAATGTTTTTTTTCAGAGTATAGTTGTTATATTTATACTAAATCATAATGGTAATTATAATTTTACAATTATGAAATGGTAACCCTATTTAATAAGCAGAAAGCTTGTACACTCTTTCTGAAAAATCAACTGGTAATTCTTCTTTAAGCAAATTTCATTTCCTGTGGGCCAGGTGAGGGGGGCCTGGCCTGTTTGATTTTTACTTCCTTCCTTGTTCTCCTGTTCCCCAGATTAGGCAAGCCTGAGGACTGTGCAGGCATCGTGTCTTTCTTGTGTTCGGAGGACGCTAGTTATATCACTGGGGAGACAGTAGTAGTTGGAGGAGGAACCCCATCCCGCCTCTGAGGAACAGAAGGCAGCCCACTAGGGCAGAGGTTAGTTCCAGCTCCTGGGGGCCATTCCAGCATTCTTCTGCTGACCTTTCCCACCTCTGCCCATCTTATTGCTCATCACGCAAAATCTCTTCTGCCCTGTGATAAGGTCCAGCCTTGCCTGCTGTCAAGATGTGGTCTGATGAGGATTCCCACTGTTGCTGTGGTGTGGATAAGGCTTGCCCTGAAAACACTGTGAACCTGAGAAGGCTGTGTCTACCTTGACAAAGACCAACAAGTATTCCCCACCACCACCACTCCCCACCCTATCCCGGGAATTTGAAGGTAGATGGGGGGAGGGGGAGAAGGAACCTGGAGTGGAAGGAGCAGGGCTGGAAATTAACAACTTGCAAATGAGGTGCAAATAAAATGCATATGATCGCGTTGCTCTGAATCAGCGTGTTCATTTCTGTGCCGGGTGCTTAAGTATGGAGCTGAGCACAGAGCAGAGGTCCGGGCAGGCTAATCTCTGCATCCCCTCAGCACTCTTCCTGGTCTCCAGGATTTGAGTGTGACGCTTGAGGGTGGAGGTGTCTGCAGAGCTGCCAGCTGGGAGGAGGTGGTTCGGAAACTCCCAGGTGCTACTCCGAGCCTCACAACCCAAGGGATGTGCCAAAGACGCTACGGGGATCCCCGAGCCTGGGCGGGCAAGCAAGGAATAGGGACGAACTCCCCCAGATCCGGCCAGGTCCTCTCCCAGGATCGCCCTTGGTTTGGAGTTCCCTCCAGGGTCAGCAAGGACGAGCTGAATGGGTCCTGAGCTGCCGGGGGAAAGGGGAGGGGCTCTGCAAGAATGGCCCAAGGAGGTGTACCCAGGCCCATAAACAAAGAAATTGGGGGTTCTGCCCTAGGTGCCCAGTGAGTAGGTGGCACGGAGAGCAGGAACGCTGCCCCCGGCCCGGGAGATACCCCAAACACCAGGCGACGTGCTCTGGGCCTCTCACTAGGTAGCCCGCAGGAGGGGTCGGCGCGAGCGCGCGCGGGGTCTCACGCGGCTAGGCAGCGCAGCGCGCATGCTCAGTTCAGCACTTCTCCGGGCGGGGCGGGAGACCCGGCGCTCCGAGGCGGGGGGAGGAGCGCTCGCGCAGCCGCCCCTGACTGGAGCGGGCTCGGTCGCTGCTGCAGCGCTCAGCGCCCGGGCCCTGCCGGAGCCGGGACTAGCATGTGCCGCGGCTCCCCGGCGGCGGCGGCGGCGGCTTCTCTGCAGCAACAGCAGCAGCAGCAGCAGCAGCAGCGACCGCCATGGCCAAGGCCAGCGTGGAGCTCACCCGCGAGCTGCAAGGTAGGAGGCTGCCTTGGTCTCCGGGACGCCCCGTCCGGGAGCATCCCAGACCAGTGCTTTCCTGCCCGTGGTCAGACCCAAGCCCGGTGCCTCCTGCCCCCTCATGCATCCTCGCTCCAAGGCAGCCCCCTACTCCTGCATCCCAGCCCTGGCATCGCTGTCCCCGGAGCATCCTCCTCTGCCCCGCTCGCCTCACCCTACCAAGGACCTTCCTATCCTGGAGCCGCCCGTCCCGCTCTTGGGTGACAGGTGCAGTTCCCTTGCGCTTTCTGGGGCTGACGCTTAGCGTTCCTGACCCACCCCTCGGTGAGGTGTCCAGTGTCCCCTCCTTAGAGTCCTTGCTTTCCCCCCACCCCCGCCGGGCGGGGCCAGGCCCGCCCCGCCAGGCGATGGGAGCTGCCCCTGGTCCTGACCGCTGCTTGTCTTAACACCCTCCCTCTTCTCGGCCCCGCCCCGGAACTGACCCGGGAGAGAGCCCCCTAGATGCCTGGCATCGACCAGGCCATCGGGGCAAAGAAGGGAGTCAGGAAAGAGGCTCTGGACTGAAGCTAAAATCAAAAGCAGGGTCCCTTCAGCTTACCTCCCACAGCCCCCTTCCCAACCTGCCCTCTTCTCATTACCCACCACCCACACTTCAAAGCCTCTTCTGGTTTCATAGGTTCTCATACTTAGCCCAAACCAAGGCCTGCCCCCACCCCCAGCAGTGCCACAACCCTGACCCCAGAGGCTGAGCACAGGCTAGCCCACGCAGAGAGCTCAAGGATGCTAAGAGCCATGATGCACTGTGGCGATTTCCCACAGATACCCTCACACACTGGATCACAATCATGAGATGTGTGTATACACATCTTTACAGAAACTGTACCTCCACCACACACATGTACCCCCACTGCACACGTGTACATATGCACACTATGGGATATCCGGATGGTTCTGCCAGCAGATGGGTATGTGGGTATGGGGCTCATTTAAACATTAAATCCTTCCCCCACCACCACCAACACACACATACACACACATACACACACACACACACACACACGAACTGTCTGGCACTGTGCCCTTTCACAGTAGCAAGCCAGCAGACTCATTCACACTTCTCTGTCCCTGCCAATGCCACACTCAGGCTCCCTGGCATTGTCAGAAGGCATACATACACACTCGTAGTAAAGTCAGACTCCCACACCCAGACCACCTAGGATACAGTCAGGGGACACCCCCACACCCCCACATACTGACTCACTGTGTATGTGTTGATGGGCTGGAGAAATCCTTCACACCCTCAGAGGTATAAGACATACCCTCCTACAGGCAGTGCCACTCAGCTACTGTCCCCTAACTCAGGGACATCAGGAGCCAGAGTTTTCTCCATTCTACATTCCCTCTCCAATAGGAAAAGTCACCCACGAAGGAAAAGTCTCTGTACCATACTTCTTTGTCCCTGTTTCTCTCTCCTCTAATCTGCCCCTGCCTCTGCCTCTATCTGAACAACCCTGAGGGAGTGGGGGTGGCCAGGGTGAGGGGAGCTCTGAGCAGGCCCCCACCCATCTGCAGACAGCATCCGGAGGTGCCTGAGCCAAGGGGCTGTGCTCCAGCAACATCGAGTGAAGCTAGAGACAAAACCCAAGAAGTTTGAGGACCGAGTGCTGGTGAGGGCATTGATCTTGGTGGGGTAAAGGGAGTTGGTGAGAGCAACTGAGCTGTAGGGAGCTAGACAGGAGAGACAGAAATGGGAGAACAGCTGAGGAGATAAAGCCTGGGGGAGGGGCAGGGTGGGCTGGGCTGATGTCTAGGAACCTAAGGTAGGGCAGGAAAGAAAAGGAAACTCCAAGAGCAGAGTTGAGGGGGCTAAAGGAAGGCAGGGTCACCAGGGCCCAGGCAGCTGCCATGAGCAGCTGATACTCTTCTCTGCAGGCCCTGACCTCCTGGCGCCTCCACCTCTTCCCCCTTAAAGTCCCTGCCAAGGTGAGTTGAGCAGAGAAGACTAGCATGCTCCCTTCTGAGCCTGGCAACAAGGTCCTAATCAGGAACTGAGCATCTCCATCCCTCCAGGTGGAGAGCTCCTTCAATGTCCTGGAGATCCGTGCCTTCAACACGCTCAGTCAGAACCAGGTGATCACCAGCGTTCTGCATGCCACTATTGGGCCAACTGGAGGAGAGAGTCAATGTCTAAGGCTCTGCCGCTCCCTCCCCCCAGATCCTGGTGGAGACGGAGCGCGGCATGGTGAGCATGCGACTGCCATCAGCTGAGAGCGTGGACCAGGTGACGCGACATGTGAGCTCTGCCCTCTCCAAGGTCTGCCCTGGCCCTGGGTGAGTGGCAAACAAGGGGTATCTCAAGGGATTAGACAACAATGAGACTTAGACAACTAGACAACCTAGAAAAAGAGTGCTCATGTTCCCCTCCTGCTTTTTCCTGGGGGCACAAAAGCTATAACAGGGGAAATAATTGAGAGCCTCTTTCGATCCCACTCTTGGATGATTTGTTCATTTTCCAGGTGTTTGATCCGACGTGGAAATGTGGACACACCTGAGGGCCCCCGAGACACATCCCCCAACTCTGAGACTTCAACATCTACCACCCATAGTGTGTGTGGTGAGCAGGGGCAAACACAAGGAATGTGGGACCCAGGTCATTCTGCCCCATGTCCAGAGCCCTTTGTGCATGGGATTTTGCCTTGAGGAGTCTTTGCCTGCCTTGATGTTCCCGGATCTCAGGAGCTGCATGATGTAGCAGGAACCTAGGATACTAGCACATATGGTGACCTTGAACCCCAAGCTGTTTCACATCCCCTTGCCCTTCATGGAGCCAGTCCATCTCCTCTCCACAGGTGGTTTCTCCGAGACCTATGCTGCCCTGTGTGACTACAATGGGCTGCACTGCCGTGAGGAGGTGCAATGGGTGCGTTGAGCAGGGACTTAGCAGGAAGCCAGTGGGACCTGGAGGGAGGAGCAGATGAGGGGGTGGGGAGCAGGTGTGAGCTAGTTCCATCTCTCCAAGGATGTGGATACCATTTACCATGCTGAGGATAACCGTGAGTTCAATCTTCTGGATTTCAGCCACTTAGAGAGCCGGTAAGCAGTTGGGGCAGAGACTTAACCCCCAAATTCCCCACCTCTGTTCAACCCTGGCCCTTCCCAGGATCTCCCTTCTGGTCCCACCCAGCCCCTGCTCTATCTCCCCAACTCCACACTCCCAACTCCACTGGTATCTAGCCATCTTTCCCCAGTCCAATTACCCCCATCATTGGTCTCTTCTTTCCTACCCCAGCCACCTACTTACCACTTCCTCCTCTCTTCACTATCCCCACAGAGATTTGGCCCTAATGGTGGCAGCCCTGGCCTACAACCAGTGGTTTACCAAACTCTACTGCAAAGACCTGCGGCTGGTAGGAAGTAGGAGAGAGGGGACGGCAGGGGAGTTTCCTCCTTGGCTCCTGATCTTAGAACCTTTCTGTCCTCAGGGTTCAGAAGTTCTAGAACAGGTGCTACATACCCTGAGCAAGTCGGGGAGCCTGGAAGAGCTAGTGCTGGACAATGCTGGACTTAAGACGTGAGGCCAGCTTCCTCTGTGGGCAGTGGTATCCCCTTCATGTAGTCTTAAGAGTTCTAAAACCTCAGAGCATGGGGTCCCTGAACTATCTCATCCAGCTCCTCACTTTCCAGAGAGGAAGGAAGCTGAGACCCAAAGAGGGCACAAATCAAGTTAGTGGTCAAGCTGGAACTCAGACCTCAGGCTCCCAATGCCCAAATTCATTGGCCTTTCCCTAGTTCTTGCCATACCTTATCCCTGTTTTCCATCAAATGCCAAGCAGGGTGGCAGTCTTGAGGACTCAAAGCTGGGCTTTGTCTCAGCACAACTTCCTAAGGTGTGGCATGCCCTCAGGTACTCCAGAGAGGTGACAAGGTCCCTGGCAGGCCCCAAGCTGCTCCCCTGTTCTGAGGGCCTCTGACCATTGCAGCGCCAGCCAGACAGGCAGGTAGAGGAGGAGGGGAAGCCCACGGGTTGGGACCTGGGGCTCAGCTCCGGACAAATCCTTCCTCCCCTTCCCCGAAGGGACTTTGTCCAGAAGCTGGCCGGGGTGTTTGGGGAGAACGGGAGCTGTGTGCTGCATGCCCTCACTCTGTCCCACAACCCCATCGAGGACAAGGGTGAGCCCCAGCCCTGAATTCTATCCCACCACAATGCAGACCCCTGTCCTAGCCCAGAGCCCAACCCGGGTCTGAACAGTGGCTCTTCAGCCTGATGGTAGCCCCTGTCCCAGCATTTCTATCCTTGACCCCAGGCCTGCACCCTACTCAAGCCCCCATCTGACTCTACACCACCTGCACCTACTGCCCAGCTCTCACTGGGCCCATTCTCTCCACTCCTCAGGTTTCCTGAGTCTGAGCCAGCAGCTACTCTGCTTCCCCACTGGCCTCACCAAGCTGTGCTTGGCCAAGACTGCCATTTCCCCCCGAGGTACTCACACCAGGACCCCTAACCTCTGATTGCTGACCTCCCCCAAGTGCTCCCTGTGATGCTGAGCCTCAGAGGTGCACCCACACATCCACATACCATTCCAGGGATTATGGGTGGAATATAGCCACATTTAGGAATGGGGAAGGGTCATGTATTGAGGGGAAGAGGTGGGGATGAGGGCCAACCCAGCCCAGTGCTCGCTGTGCTCAGGGCTCCAGGCACTGGGCCAGACATTTGGGGCCAACCCGGCCTTCGCCAGCTCCCTTCGATACCTGGACCTGAGCAAGAACCCTGGGCTGCTCGCCACCGACGAAGCCAATGTGAGTCCACAGAACATTAGCCTCACCCTTTGCAGAAGCATGCTCAGGATTCAGGGCCAGGGAGTTTTCACCCCGTTGCCCCTGGGGGTAGAGAGACTCTGTCATCTCTTCTCCCGTAGCCTGTCTGTCCTTTCTTCCTAAGGCTCTGTACAGTTTCCTGGCCCAGCCCAATGCCCTGGTGCACCTGGACCTGTCGGGGACTGACTGTGCTGTTGACTTGGTGAGGGGTTGGTGATGGGGAGTGCCAGGCTGAGGGGATTTGGGGAGGCTATGGTGGGTCTCTGTCTCACCCCTGCCCCTTCTCTGAGTACAGAGGTGGGCAGGCTGCCAGGAGGAGTTTAGCAGTAGCTCATACCTATGTGCACCATATCCAGGTCTCGAGATTGCACCTGCTATGCCAAAAGCCAGCCCTCACCTCCTCACTCCAGCTGTGCACCCTAGCCTAGGGCTGTGTCTCCACTGGTGGGAAAGGATGTTTCCCCTAACTTGAGTAAAGGCACCTTAGGAATAGTGGTGGCCCTGCTTTACATATCCACTGCCTGTGAGCCTCTCCATAGCCCAGGGAACCAGACAGGGAATGGACACACTTTCTACAGAGGACAAAACTGAGGCTTTAAGAAGCTGAGTGTGCATCCACAGTGGGAAAGGGAACCTCCCCGACCTTGGTGGGGAGGGCGGAAGGAGTCCTTGACCTACCACACTCCTCACCTCCTGGCCCCTCTGAGGCCCCCCATATCTCTCACCACAGCTTCTGGGTGCCCTGCTTCATGGCTGCTGCTCCCACCTCACCTACCTCAACCTGGCTCGCAACAGCTGTTCCCACAGGTGGGGGCAGGAGGGGCAGGGAGGGACAGGGCAAACTGTGGTCATCCCCCTCCCTTGCTGACCTCAGAGATCTCCACAGGAAGGGCCGGGAGGCCCCACCAGCCTTCAAGCAGTTCTTCAGCAGCGCCTACACACTGAGCCACGTCAACCTATCAACCACAAGGCTGCCCCTGGAGGCCCTCAGGTCTGGTGGGTGCAGGGTTGGGGGGGTGTCCAAGGGAACCAAAGGGACCTAGAGGAAGGGTAAATGTGGGCCTACTGACCTTCCTCCTACAGGGCGCTACTTCAGGGCCTCTCCCTCAACAGTCACCTCAGTGATTTGCACCTGGACCTCAGCAGCTGTGAGGTAAATTCTCACCTGTCACCCAGTGTTCATTTCTCCAACCAGAGTCAAACCCTGGCTCCATCTCACCTCTCACCTCTGTGCTACTCCTCTGCAACCCTTTGCCCTAACCACACCTCTGCTTCCCCTCTCTGGCCCTTTTTCCAGAGACCATTGTGTTCTCCCCACCTAAAGCTTTGGTGGGTGGGAGATACCAGGCTTTTCCAGCAGAGGGCAGGAGCAAGCTGTTTTAGGAATAGCAGTCTTTCTGACAGGGAGAGAGAGAGCCTTGAAAAAGGATGGGGTATAGATAAAGGACCTCCCTGGTTTTATACCCACAACCTCGTGTGACCTTGGAACCCTGGCATTACTACTCTGGTCTATGAGGATTAAAGGTTCCCTATTCCCCCACTCCATCTCTTACCCCAATCCCGGCCTTGCCTGCTCTACCCTGTCTCTGCAGCTCCGCTCAGCAGGAGCCCAGGCCTTGCAGGAGCAGCTGGGGGCTGTCACCTGTGTGGGCAGCCTAGATCTGTCAGACAATGGTGAGTAGGACACCTCTTTGAACAAAGGGAAGAAGCCCTGAGGAGACCCCAGTTAGCCTCAGGCCTCAAGGCCAGGCCTGTCCCATCTACTGACCAGGGTTCGACTCGGACCTCCTGACCCTGGTGCCTGCACTTGGCAAGAACAAGTCCCTCAAGCACCTGTTCCTGGGCAAGAACTTCAATGTCAAGGCCAAGTGAGGCCCCCTTCCCACGCCCAGAGATCCTCATCCTTTCATCCACCCATCCTCTTGGCTCACTGTATTACCTCTGGCCACCTCTCTCCTCCTTCAATAGTATGACCCCATCCCCTTCCCCTTCTACTCTGAGCCCCAATTCCCCACAGGACCCTGGAGGAGATCCTCCACAAGCTGGTACAACTGATCCAGGAAGAGGACTGTGTGAGTGACTGGGCCTAGGAGGGGACCTCCAGTGGCAGGGGACTGTGGGGACTGGACCCAACCCCTGCTTGCCCACTCAGTCCCTGCAGTCACTGTCAGTGGCAGACTCCCGACTGAAGCTCCGTACTAGCATCCTCATCAATGCTCTGGGAAGTAACACCTGCCTGGCCAAAGTGGATCTGAGCGGCAATGGCATGGAGGACATCGGGGCCAAGATGCTGTCTAAGGCCCTGCAGATAAATTCCTCCCTCAGGTGAGATCCACACCTGGACTCTCCGACCCAAAATTCCAACCCCCCACAACACACACATATGTATGTACACATTCTTGCCTCAATGCCTTGTATTCCAACCTTTGGAAGACCCCCATCCCAGAACCATCATTAAGTCAGGAAAGGAGGGAGGGCTTTAGAGGAAGGGGTGACAAACCAGTGCTCACCTTCCCTCAGAACTATCCTATGGGATCGGAACAATACATCTGCCCTGGGCTTCCTGGATATTGCGAGGGCACTAGAGAGGTAAGTGGACCAAGGCCCTGCCCTGATCCAAGCCCCCTGCCTCCCCTTGCCAGGATCAGGCCTAAACTACCCCAGCCCCAACCAGTCTCCTCCACAGAAGTGTAAGGAAGGACCATGAAAGAGGGGAAATGATGCACAAGGGGTGGGCTTTGGGGAGCAGGGGTCCTGCCCTACCCAGCCATTCTGTGTCCCACAGCAACCATACACTGCGCTTCATGTCCTTCCCGGTGAGCGACATCTCCCAAGCCTACCGCAGTGCCCCTGAGCGCACGGAGGACGTCTGGCAGAAGGTGGAGGGTGCTATCTTAAGCAGGGTGAGAAAGCAAGGGGCAGAGGGCAGCCCATGTCCTTAGCCCTGATCCTACCCACTTCATGGTCTCCAGATCCAATGGTGCCTGGTGAGGAACAACCACTCTCAGACATGCCCCCAGGAGCAGGCCTTCAGGCTACAGCAGGGCCTGGTGACCAGCAGCGCCGAGCAAGTAAACGTTTCCCTCTGGGACACATGGGGCATGAAGGGTACAGGGGTAAGGTGGTGAAGTGCATGGGGTGGGGGCAGGAAGAGGCATCATGTAATCACATAACTGGATTGAGCATGTAGGAAAGCAAAAGGACAGGGTATTCAGAATGTGGGCTCCAAACATATGTGGAAAAACAAGTAGCCCCAGACAAGAGATGCACAGGGTTCTGGGAACTTGACTGAGCATTCAGGAAGGGAATTCTAAAGAGAGAGACTGGGGCTACCCAAAGACATCACTACCACCACTGCCAATGTCAGCACCAGGTGCATGGACCAAAGGGTCTGACCTGAGACCCCTGACAATCCTGCCACTGTGCTCCAGATGCTGCAGCGGCTGTGTGGACGAGTGCAGGAGGAGGTGCGGGCACTGAGGCTGTGCCCTTTGGAACCTGTGCAGGATGAGCTGCTCTACGCTCGGGACCTCATCAAGGATGCCAAAAACTCCCGGGCGGTGAGCCCTCTGCAGCCCCACCCTCCCTGACAGTCTGGAGAACCCAAGAAGGCCAACCATACTAACCCAGGAGTGTCCAGGCATCTGCTCTCCTAGCCCAAAGCCCCCAGGGACGTTTTAGGCTCTGATTCTGGTCTCTGAACCTAACCCCTTCCTTCCCTAGCTGTTTCCCAGCCTCTATGAGCTGGGCCATGTGCTGGCCAATGACGGACCTGTGCGGCAGAGGCTGGAATCAGTAGCCAGTGAGGTGTCCAAGGCTGTGGACAAGGAGCTGCAGGCAAGTCCTGGAGAAGGGAGGAGGCCATGATGGGAACCCAGTGTTGACCAATGTCCAAAGCTAAGAATTGAAGTCAGAGAAGGAGGGTAAAAAGGAAATGCACAGTTGAGACTACCCACAGCACCCCTGTGCAAAAGCATTACAACAATATGGGGCTTGGATTTTTCTGCAAGCTTTGACCTTGGACCCTAAACTGTAACCTCCCCTTCTCTGAATTCTGATCCTGGGACTGTTTCTCCCCCTTTCTATGTGGTAGGATAGAAGAAGCACTGATTATGAGGTAGGGAAGCCTGAGTGTCCAAGGCTCTAACAGATCTGTGTCCTTAGGCAGGTCCCTCAGTGTCACCATGGGGAACTGGAATAGACAGGCTAACGTTTCTTGCACTGAAGTGCCAGCCCTGACTGCTCCCCTTGGGACTCTGGCCTCCCTTCTCCCCACACTAGGTGATCCTGGAATCCATGGTCAGCCTAACACAGGAGTTATGCCCCGTAGCCATGCGGGTGGCTGAAGGGCACAATAAGATGCTGAGCAATGTGGCAGAGCGCGTCACTGTGCCTCGGAACTTCATCCGAGGGGCACTGCTGGAGCAGGCGGGACAGGACATTCAGAACAAGCTGGAGTGAGAAAGAGCATGGGGCTGGGGGTAGGGCTGGACTTGGCTCAGAGTACATAGGGACTTGGGAACTATCAGCAGCAATGAATAATGAATGGCATAATCTCTGTTGTGAGGGATAAATCTTTAACCAAATGCAACCTTGCTATTTAGAATCTGACTGGTCTTTGCCCTAGTAATCGTAAATGCTGAGCTGGGGTTTAGAAGCCCCGGTGGTACACAAACAGGTATATGCAGCATGTACCCACATACATATACCAGGAATTGTTTCCTAGAAACAAAACCCAACTTCCTCAAAGACATGAGCAAAGTGATGTATGTCAGACACCTAGATGCCATGTTCTCTTCCTCCCTGTCTTCATTTTCCCTAAAGTGCTTTCACTCTGGGTCTGGGTGCCACCACTCACCAAAGCAAATAAGTAAAGAATCTGAAACAGCCAGGCTCAAGAAGTACAGGTTTCTTTTTTTTAATATTTTTTAGTTATAGAGAGATGCAATATCTTTATTTTATTTATTTATTTTTATGTGGTGCTGAGGATCGAACCCAGTGCCTCACATGTGCAAGGCAAGCGCTCTGCCACTGAGCCACAAGCCCAGCCCCAAGAAGTACAGGTTTCTACACTTTCAAGGTTTATTCAGCACCCAAATTCACCTAGCTCTGTTCCACTGGGGCTCCTGACCTAGAACCTCCTTGCTCCTCCTTCAATTCCTCTTTGACCACAAACACGAGGGCTGGAACTAGACATGTTTGTGGAGACATGACTGTGGTAGACATAAGGTGCCTCCTATAGCAGCCACATTCTCCATGGGTAGCCAAGCCCACTGACCCATTCTCTTAGGCATCTGCGGTAGGGAGGGGCTGAGGCTCCGTGCCAGACAAGGGGTGACTGAGCAGCCCCACCTGTGCCTACAGTGAGGTGAAGCTCTCAGTTGTCACCTACTTGACCAACTCCATAGTGGATGAGATCCTACAGGAGCTGTACCACTCCCACAAGAGCCTGGTAAGTCTTCTGAACCTGGCCAGGCTGGGGCATGCCCTCCACCCTGCGTCACCCCATCCCAACCTCCCATATCCCTGAGAGGTGGGCAGCTTCCTTGGGATCCTAGTCATACCTATCCTTTCCCAGGCCCGGCACTTGACCCAGTTAAGGACACTATCAGATCCACCAGGGGGGCTGGGCCAAGGGCAGGATCTGTCCTCCAGAGGCCGAGGCCGGAACCATGACCACGAGGAGACCACAGATGATGAACTTGGGACCAACATCGTGAGCCACCCCCCCTTAACCTGGGTCCTGCCTTTGAACCTATATTACTTTGCCTCCTCCCAAGACTCCACTCTCTACCTCTCTGTGCCTGGCCTCCCCTCAAACTCAATCCAGCCCAGCCTCTTCCCTGGTCCCAGTGCCTCAGCCCCCTGAGCAGCAGGAGGGAGGATAAACTCCAAAGAAAAGGCTTTAATGAGGAGTAAGAGGCTCAAGTTGAGGGTTCTTGAGCCCTGGCCCCATCCTGTGTCCATTTCTGCAGGACACCATGGCCATCAAAAAGCAGAAACGCTGCCGCAAGATCCGGCCGGTGTCTGCCTTCATCAGTGAGTCCCCAGCCTCAGTTCTCATGTCCTCCGGGCTCCTATGCCTTCCCTAGGCCCTCTTTCCCTTTCTTCTCTGTCTCTGCATCCTCTCTTCTCCCTATCCCTCCTGCTAGTCCCTCTAATGCTGCTGTACCCACAGGTGGGAGCCCTCAGGACGTGGAAAGCCAACTGGGGAGCCTGGGGATCCCCCCTGGCTGGTTCTCAGGACTCGGGGGCAGCCAGCCTTCAGCTAGTGGCTCCTGGGAAGGTCTATCTGAGCTGCCTACTCATGGTTATAAACTAAGGCATCAAACACAAGGGAGGCCCCGGCCCCCCAGGACCACCCCACCAGGACCAGGTCGGCCCAGTGTGAGTCCCAAAGACCTTACAAAGGACTGACTTTCCCTAGCAATGCTATTGCCAGGGATTCCAGCTTTAGGTCCTAGATGCCAGAGATATTAGCTTTGGGGAATTGGGCAGGAGCCCAAGCAAGCCATAAAACAGTTCAGGGATTATCCAGTTTAGATGGGAGCTAGACCTTATTGCAGATAATAAATCTCCATCTAGCTGGGGATGGTGGTACCCAGCTACTCAGGAGGCTGAGGCAGGAGGATTTCCTGAGCCCATGAGTTCAAGACCAGCCTGGCAACACAGCAAGACCCCATATCAAAAAATAAAGAAATGAGGAAAGAAATCTCTGTCTACCAGGCAGTGACATTCTAATTTTTATGAAGGACAAAGCCAAGAGCCACCAAGCTTAGGAAATGCCTAGGTGAATCAAAGTCTGAATTTCCATTGGGCCAAGTCCAAAGGGAAGGCTCTGAGAGGTTGGGAGGTGGGATTTCTGACCCAGATGAGCTATCCCACAGGACTCTTCCTCTTAGCAGGTACCAGTACCTGGGACTCGTCAGGAGAATGGAATGGCCAGCCGCCTAGATGAGGGGCTAGAGGACTTTTTCAGCCGAAGGGTCATGGATGAAAGTTCCAGGTATGATGCCTAGACACACTCTCATTTTCAGTTCCTATCCTCCCAATTCCCCTGAAGTCTCTCCAGCAACAGTGTCCCCAATCCAGTCTCTCTGGGACATTTTTCCACATTCTTATCCTTCCCCCACATCCTTTAACTCCTATGCCTCTAAGTCTCCTCATGACAGTTAAAAAGGATGAAGCCAGCATGAACTACCAGATTGGGATGGTAGGGACAGGGCAGAGGTGACAGGCCCTGGGATGGGTGGCCCATTAGTATAGTAGTATGAGGCCCTGAGGCCAGTGGCCTCCATCTCTGTCTTACACAGACTCCCCAGGATATGTCCAGAAAAAGCCAGGACACTTGGAGGAGAAAAATTGTTGCCAAGGCGAGGGGGTAGACAGTCTGGGAGGAGAGAGTCAATTTAGGGGAAAAAGACTACTGGAGGTTTATGATGGGGAAGAAAAGGACACCACCTCCTCTGAGAACTAAGTAAGTGGAAAGGCGCACAGGGCAGCAGGAGAGACCAGATGAGAGAGAGAAATAGGATATTCATTAGACCCAGGATGAACCAACACCAGCACCACTCTGGGCTCTGCATCTAGCGTTTGTCACTAACTCACCCCAACTCTGCCCAGCTACCCCAGGACTCTGAGGACTGTTCGGCCAGGCCTCTCAGAGGCACCACTGCCTCCACTCCAGAAGAAGAGGCGCCGAGGCCTGTTTCATTTTCGGAGGCCCCGGAGCTTCAAGGGGGACAGGGGACCAGGGTCCCCAACTGCTGGACTCCTCCTCCCTCCACCCCCACCCCCACCCCCAACTCAGGAGAGCCCTCCCAGCCCAGACCCCCCAAGCCTCGGCAATAACTCTTCTCCCTGCTGGAGCCCAGAGGAGGAAACCAGCCTCCTCCCTGGATTTGGTGGGGGAAGGGGACCTTCCTTTCGTAAGAAGATGGTAAGTAAGGCAGGGGGTGCCGCGTCCTCCCTTTCTCCTGTCCCTCACATAGCCCATTCGCTAACATCACCCCAACATTAATGGGAGAATGTTAGGACTCAAGGTTCTGAGGGGCACTGGTCATTCCATTTCTCCTTTCCTTGAGAATGGACTAATACCTGGTAGCCCAGAGCATGCTGGGAGTGCTGTATGAAAATGATGGCATTGGAAGGACTTCTCTCAGGGTCATGGCAGGGCTCCCCAGGGCCAGTGACTCAGTGGGGTGGGGGTGCTCCCACTGCTCCACTGCTGCCCATGTAGTTCCTTCTCCATCAGGAACTGCTTGTAAACAAGAGACCTTGTTCCAGGGCACCGAAGGGTCAGAGCCAGGGGAGGGGGACCCAGTTCCTGGGACAGCACAGCAGCCAAGGGCCCACGGTGTTGCCCTTCCTGGGTTGGGAAGAGCCAAGGGTTGGAGCTTCGACGGGAAACGAGAGGTGAGAGGAGCCTGGTACTACAAGCTGAGGGTCCTGTGGGTCCCTGTCCACCATCCCCCTTCCTGCTCCCTCATTGCTGGTGATTCCACAGAGAATGCAGGTGCTTTGGAGTTGGAAGTTGTTGGCTGCAGTTCTCTGCACTACCCATGCTTGCCAGGGAATTTGGGACTAGCTACTAAACCTCTTGGATATTGTAAAATACGTGGTTGGAGGAGTCATAAAACTACTCACCTCTAGTGCTCTTCTTCCCAAACTTTGGTAACTTGATTGCAGCCCATTTATGATGATTTTCACCTTATCCATGTGCCACCTAAATTAGTATTTATGTAATATTTTTATTTAAATCAATTCACCTTTTTTTAAACTTAGTCTAGACATAAGCATTATCATCTTTAAAATCTCAGGCACTTTGTATAAGTAATTTTTCTATTAATCATAGAATAAACATCTATCTATTAAGATAGAAGTATGTTAATTTGTGTAAGCCATTTCTTGTGCCCCCAGGATGGTAAGGGTGCCACTTGGGAAACATGGTCCAAGTATCTAGGAAGTAGTGACATGAAAATGACATGAGATGCCAGAGCAGAAACCATTTGTCAATTGCAGTCCCCCATGGAGGGGGCTTTTCTCATGACCTGATCTGACTTACCCATTCTTTCAGGGCACAGGCCCAGACCTGGATGACAGCACCCAGGCTTGGCAGAAAAGGCGCTCTTCAGATGATGCAGGTGAGATTACTCATCCTTGCTCCCCTCCTTTGACCCTTCTCTCAGGATCCCCTCCTAATTTGCCCTTTCTCTTTCTTCCTTTCCCTTTCCCATCTCCTTCCATTCCAGGACCTGGAGCCTGGAAGCCACCCCCACCGCCTCAAAGCACCAAGCCAAGCTTCAGTGCCATACGACGAGCAGAGGCCACATGGCACATAGGTATGGAGAGCCCCTTCCCAGGCAGCAGCACCAAAAATCCAGGGCATGTCCAAAGAAACAGAAGCTGTGGCTCCTGAGCTGAGGAATTTCCCACCAACATGGGGCAGTGAGAAGTCAGCACAATGAAAATGTTTAAGGGTATTTTACAAAGCTACATTCAAAAGAGACAAACAGTTCCATCCAAAGAAAAAATCTCCAGATCAAAAGTGGTTTCACTACAGCTAACAGACAGGAGCAATGTTTTATCGATGGTTCCAGCAAATCCTCTAGGATAGGTGCCGCCTCAGACCACCATCAGCACAGCAGTGCCCTCTATAGAGAAGTTCCCATTCTGCTCCTTAGCTGGGAAGAGGGTGGGAAGTCAAGCTGCTAGGGAGTGCCAGCTATGCCAGGCTCATTTCAAACATTTCAGCCTCCTGTAAAAATACCTCGTCGACCTATCATTGGGTTATTCAGAAAGGTGTCCCAAAGGAGGGGCAAGAGCACTGCTTTGGAGGTCAGACGCCCTGGATATTGGTCCTGCTCAGCCACCCATGACTTTAAATAGGTCATTTATTTTCTGGTCTCATGACTGGAGGAATAAAATGGAGGAGGACTATTCCAGGTATGATACTTCCCTCCTGCTGGGTTCAGAGTACCTTAAGTATAAGGAGCCACTAAAGAAAAGCTGACCAGCTCAGCATTGACTTGAATTTCCAAGGCCTGGAATATGACCCCTGACAATATTGACATGGACAAAATCTTCCTGTAGACACATACACCCCCTTGCCCTCCTCCACTCCTACCCCTGGACTAATACATACAGGACCAGAAGGAGTTAAAAGATGGGCAGGCAGGTCTGACTTGGGCTGCCTGCTCTCCATAGTCCCTTCCTGCCCCTTTTGGCCCTTGCTCCTCTCTCCCCTGTAGTGCCCAGAGCCAAGCTGACATGGTCATGACAGTGCCTGTGTGCCTTCCCCATCCTCCAAGGCCAACCCAGCACTGGGGCATCTGTACTGACTTCCCATCCCTCACACAGACTGGGTCAAGTATTCAAAGCAGGGCCGCATCCTTCATTTAGGAAACCACAGTCAGAATAGGCAGATGCTTCACTGCACGCATCCCTCATAGTGACGCATATAGACTCCATTTGCCAGGTGTTTACCCTCAGACTCATGCTGCTTAAAAGTTGGGGCAAGGAGGCAGCGGGGAGGGCAGCAATGTGCCAGTGTACTCTCCTTGAGTCTGTCTCTAAATCAGACTGGCAAACAGTTCTGGGAATGTCAGGCTGCAGTATTGGCAGAGCCCTGGGACACTGCAGCTCTGGATGGGCAGCCATGCCTGTGGGTCTAACAGGCCCCATGTCCTGGCTTTGCCCTGGTAGGAAAGGACCTGGGTTCTGCTCTGCAAGAGAGGCATCCAGGCCAGAGCCCCCTCAAGAGGTGATGACCTCAGGGTGATCCTGGGTACCCAGAGCTAAGGAAAGGTGGCCATTGAAGGGTAGAAGGGGACATCAAAGGCAGAGATGGAGCAAATGGAACTGAAGGGGGAAAGTCTTGGCCTATGGGGCTTCCCCAGAGGAGGACACTGAGGAGGGCTCTTCAAGCACACCTTTTCCTGTAGCTTCTTCTGTCTGCTATCCCCCAGCTGAGGAGAGTGCCCCCAACCACAGCTGCCAGAGCCCCAGCCCAGCCTCCCAAGATGGGGAGGAAGAAAAGGAGGGAGCCTTATTCCCAGAGAGGATGGTTCCAGCCAGGAATGCCAAGGTGAGGGCCAGCAAGGTGGGTGGGTAGGGTGCTTGGATGAGGCAAGGAGACTGACCCAGCACCTTCCTTCCTCTGCCAGCTACAGGATCCCCCTTTAGCTCCACGGCCTCCCAAGCCAGTAGCTGTCCCCAGAGGTCGCCGGCCCCCTCAGGTACCAGGAGGCAGGGAGGAGACCGAGGCTGGGAATACAGCCCCAGGAGTCAACAAGTCCCGGCTGAGGCTGGGTTCACAGCAAGACCAAGAGGAGCCTGAAGTCCAAGGTCTGCTTCCCTGGCTAAGTGAGGGGCTCAGGGAATCCTCAGAAACCTTGCTGTCCACATCGGTTCCCCTTAAAAGGCATGGAATAAGCAACAACCAGGAGTCACAGCCTGGATAAGCACCCCAGCCTGTGATCTCCCACATATGCCAAGCTTGCTATGAATGTCATTTCAGGACCCCCTGATCCAGGCCGCCGGACTGCCCCACTGAAACCCAAGAGGACACGGCGGGCGCAGTCCTGTGATAAACTGGAGCCTGACAGAAGACGGCCCCCTGACCCCTCAGGTGCCAGTGGTGAGAGGGCAGGACCCCTTCCCACCTATCTGTCAATCTATTCACACAGGGTGCTGGCTCTCCCTGCCCAGGAAACAGAGTTCCATGAATTTGTCCCCAGCAGGAACCAGTGAGCCAGGAACAGACTGACAGCTGCCACGACACCTTCCTCTCCAGCCTTCCTCTCAACATGTGCCTCACAAGGACTCAGACCCCTATCCATCCCTGTTCCCCCAGACTCCTTGCCAGCCCTGTCCAACAGGCACAGGGGAGCTGGAGGCCAGGGACTGGAAGGGAGGAAGCAACCTGGAGAGAGGGAGGCTCTCAGTGCCTGCCTTGATGCCTCGCTCTGCAGAGAGCTTCAGGGTGGGGCCTGTCTCCTCCCCTGGGAGGGTAGATCTCTGTCCCTGTATCCCCAGGGGCTTCTCCCCACTTGTATAGAATAAAAAAGAAAAAAAAATGTCTGCCTTCAGTCTCTGCTGTCTTCCCCATTCACTTCCCACATTCCCACCATCTGCTCCCTTCCCACAAGCCTCCAGGGCTTGGCCTCAGTGGAGGAAAATGAGGAACACCCCACAGGTATGGGGCTGAGACTCTGAAAGGAGAAGGAGAATAACAAAGCTGCTCAGAAGGGGACTTCTAAGTCTCTCTGGTAGGATGGGCTATTAGTGCAGGGTCAGGGCTGCAAAATGAGACCAACATAGTGTGTATCCAGCTTTGGAAGATGCAATGGGATTGAAAGGCCCCAGCATACCAGGGGGAGATTGGGGAGCAGTGGCCGTGCGTGTGTATATGCATTCACACACATGCTCACCATCAGTGTCACACGTGTCATCCTGTGAGCACCCTCAGTAGTCAAAAATCTCAACAGTAGAGTAGCTTATAGGTGAACAGAGTCTCTATGACATGAGGAAATGATTAAATTAATCATTTCCTTCAGTACCTTTGATATTCAGAGCCTCTTAATAGCCTCTTCTTCTGTGTGGCCTTCTTGATGTCCTCCCCACTCACCTGCATTCAGCCCCTCCTCACAAGGCCCTACTGCCTCCTCAGCAGGTCAGTGATGTTGCATCTGTCACACTTCACTGCATTTCATATTGGTGTATCATCTCTGCATGTGCACTTCTCTCTTCCAGACACTTCTGCCTCCCGCAGGGGAGAGGCTACATTCGAACCACCTGGTTAGCCCCAGTGCCTGGTATAATGCCTGGCACTCAGGAGATGGTTAATAAATAGTTGCTACCTTAATAAATGAGCAGCTTAAAGGAAGATGTCCTGGTGAATGCTCTTGTGTTCTTATCCCAGATCGCCATGTGTTCAAACGTCTTCATGTGTGACTTATAGCTCCCCAGGCAATTAATTGCTCACTTCCCCTGGTATCACTAAGAATGACTAATGTCTTGCTTCCTTAAGATCTGCACATGGCACGGTCACTCCCACAAGGATGTGGCCCTACATGCGCAGTTGGGGAGAGGGGTGGTTGGGTACACTGTGTCACCAGGAAGACGCCTTGGGTATCAGTCCTTTAGCACATGCCCCCACTGTGCAGCCCTGTCCTCCAAGGGCTTCATGCCCAGGATGTGAGTCTGTGTCCTAACCAATCATGTCCATTTCCTGTTTCTCCTTATAAAAAGGTGGCTAGGAAACTGGACATCATTCTTAAAGCCATGAGGGTCTGCGTGGTGTGTGGTGGTTTTTAAACAGCACGTGAAATCAACATCCTGTTGTATCCTGGGTTGGTGTGAGTGAACCTATATATATGTGTGTGACAAGTAAAGCCCAGTGTTCTTTGATATGTGACTGCAAATATCCTTAACAAGTGTAATACTGTTGAAAGCACTGAGACTGGGTGTGTTTCACACTGTGTATGGGTGGGGCTGTAACTGTCATGGTGTCACAGTGAGTTTACGTACTGGCGCCTGTGTGTGTCAAGATATGTGTGAGCCGTGGGTGCACGTGTCGCCATTCTTTCTGTGTGGATGTGTGTGGATGTGTGTGCATGCATCACTGCGGCATGTGCATATCTGTGATGCTGGGTGTGGGTGTGGTGTGAAGGGGAAGACGTGTGTCACTGTGTCTGCGGGGGTCCTGCCTCTGAGCCACCCCCAGCCCGCCCTCCTTCCCCAGTTCTGTGGCTCCCTCTCAGGCAATGGCCCTGCCTCTCCCCTCTTCTCCCTCCCAACCGGTCTGTGCGGGGGGAGCTTGTGCTGCGGCCCCCCCATCCCTCCCCATCCAGGCCCCATAAATAGCAGCAGAGCTGGAGCCGGAGCCGGCGCCAGCGGCTGGAGCAGCAAGGGAGTCAGGGCCAGGGCTGAAGAGGAGAGCCGGAGAGGAGAGCCCCCGACTGAGAGCCCAGGTGAGCCCACCCTTTCTCCCTAGAGCAGCCCTGGTCCTACCCAACCTGGCCCAGTCTCCATAACAACATCTCCTCTGGCCCCCAGAGAGGTCCCTCAACCCTGCCTGATCCCCTCACCACCAAATGTCCCTGCCTATATCAATCAGGAGACCCACAAGAGTGGGGAGACTCATAGCTAGAAGGCAGAAAACCCCAGCCCAGACCCTCACTCACATACCTACAAGGATACATTGAGAGAAGATGGGTACCAACCAGGGAAGGGTCTCAGTTTTGAAGGAGGTACAGAAGCTGTCACACCCTCCCGGAGATGGACACATGACAGAAAGGGGCAGACACAGAGGGTGGGGCACTCAGACACACCAACACACACTCACTCGGGGAAAGCACGGCATGAGATCTGACAGTCTCACCCTTGAGACCTGGACAGACACAGATAGATGGACTGACCGGCCATGAACTCAGGCCGGCATACCCCTGCCTGCTGCTGCCCAAGATTTTGTAGCAGCGCTGGGGGAGGATGGAGCGCATGCATCCCACGGGCAGCATGGAGGGGGCTGTGGCTCCCCCAAAACCCTGTCGCTAAGAGACAGTACCAGTGTTGCCAAGAAGTGTGAGACCAGAGGAGGGGGGAGGGCTGCAATTTTTGTCATAGTGAGAGCCACTGCCAGGAGCCTGGGGGAGCCTTCAGCAGAGCTCTGGTCCTGAATCTAATTCCCAAGCCCACTGCCCCTCCTTTCCCATCAGGCAGCCAGAAGGTGAGTGGGGGTAGGGAGAGGACAGGGACAGCCCAGCAGAGCACCTTCCAACCTGTCTCCTCCTGCCTACTGCGGACTTCATTCCTGAGACCTTTTCTCTTCAGATCTCCAGGGGGCCTCTCCAGCCCCTGCCCACCCCCTTGCCCCAGTTCAGCTCGCTCATGCCAAGACTGAGTGCAGTGCTGGCTCAAACACCAGTCGGGAAATAGCAGAAGATGCTGAGCCAGCAGACAGCATGGATCAATCGATGGCCTGGAAGCCAGGACTGCCAGGAACCCTGCTGCGTCCCCCAACACTTTCCAGCCCCATCCGCACATACCTAGGCTGGTAGCTGACAGAAGCACAACAGGGAGAGGCTCTGCTCCTCCATCCTCCCCTGCTCAGAGTTCTGGGGAAGTCAGGCAGAAGGCAGGGAAAGCAGGAAGTCCATGAGACCCCAGGGCCTCAGTAAGGAGGGCAAGGTGGGTGGGGGGGTCCTGGGTCCCCAGAGAACAGTCCTCCTCTTCTGGTTCTCCTTCCAGTGTCCAAGCCATCTGCTCATCCCCACAGAGACATGTCGGACCCTGAGATGGGATGGGTGCCTGAGCCCCCAGCCATGACGCTGGGAGCCTCTCGTGTGGAGCTACGCGTGTCCTGCCAGGGCCTCTTGGACCGAGACACACTCACCAAGCCCCACCCCTGTGTGCTGCTCAAGCTCTACTCTGATGAGCAGTGGGTGGAGGTGAGAGGGCTTGGATTTTTCCTTAACTAACCTTCTGGGTTAATCTGGGAAGAGGGAGGGCGGTTGTGGGCAATGAAAGCCTAGTGTAGGGAAATGCAAGGGCTCAGGGGACCTTTTCTAGGCCATGTGGGTAACCTTGGAGACGAGTATGCCATCATGACAAACCCAAACCATTTTGCAGTTAGTTCACAGAGTCCCAGAGGTTTCTGATGTTGCCCCAGAGGCGATGGAAGAGATCCCAAAGGCCTTGAGAGCCCCAGAGCGCTGAGGGTTCAACAGCCCCCTGAGCTTAGGGGTCAACCTAGGAAAAGAAGAGCTTGTTGTTGAGGATGTGGTGGCCCAAGGAGAGCTGGCATGACCTGAGCTGTCCAGGACAGGGAAAAGTAACCTCCATTCTCAGAAAGCCCTAACCCCTCCTACTGCAGGTGGAGCACACGGAGGTGCTTCGCTCCTGTTCCAGTCCTGTCTTCTCCCGGGTCCTGGCCCTCGAGTACTTTTTTGAAGAGAAGCAGCCCCTGCAATTCCATGTGTTTGATGCTGAGGATGGAGCCACCAGCCCCCGCAATGACACCTTCCTTGGCTCTATGGAGTGTACCTTGGGCCAGGTCTGCATTCCTGCTCACCCCACCCCACTCTTATCAGTTTCTGTCTCTGGAAGTCAAATTAAGAGACAGCATTAGCTTTGGAGCTAGTTTGGTTTGTGACATGATCTGGGGATGAAGGTGGAGGGAGATAGCTGTAATGCCTTCACCTGCTTTGGCCAGGGTATGAAGGGTAGAAGAATCAGTGCTCTCTGTGTGTCCACAAGAGTCAGCCCTTTGACTAAGTTAGTGGTGGAGTCAGTTTCTACAGCAACCTTTAGAGGGAGGCATAGGCCTAAGACTTGGAAGGATGAGGCAGGAGGATTGCAGGTTTGAGGCCAGTCTCAGCAATTTAGCAAAATCCTCAGCAACTGTGTGAGACCCCCCTGTCATAAAATAAAAATAAAAAGGGCTGGGAATGTAGCTCAGTGGTAAAGCACCCCTGGGTTCAACTCCAGAGCGCTGAGGGTTCAACAGCCCCCTGAGCTTAGGGGTCAACCTAGGAAAAGAAGAGCTTGTTGTTGAGGATGTGGTGGCCTCATGATGAGGAAGGCACAGAGGACTGGAGTGTAGTTCTGGACCTGGATCCCATCTCTGCCATTCAGTGGCTGTGCAGTCTAGGGCAAGATACTTAACCTCTCTGAATCTTAATTTCCTCATGTAAACATTCTCCCTGTAGGAGAGAATATTATAGTGCTTCCTTCTCTTTTGTTTTTTATTTGTTTGTTTTGGTGCTGAGGATTAAATCTATGGTTTCATGCATACCAAGGAAGCACTGTATCACTGAACTACACTCTAGTCCTCTGTGCCTTTCTTCTTTTTTTGGGAGGAGAGAGGTACTGGAGTTGATCCCAGGGGTGCTTTACCACTGAGCTACATTCCCAGCCCTTTTTATGTTTATTTTTTGACAGGAGGGGGCCTCACAGAGTTGCTGAGGATTTTTGCTAAATTGCTAAGACTGTTAAATTCAAACCTGCAATCCTCCTGCCTCACCCTCCGAAGTCTTAGGCCTGTACCTCCCTCTAAAGGCTGCTGTAGAAACTGACTCCACCACTAACTTAGCCAAAGGGCCAACCCTTGTGGACACACAGAGAGCACTGATTCTTCTACCCTTCATACCCTGGCCAAAGCAGGTGAAGGCATTACTGCTGTCTCCTTCTACCTTCATCCCCAGATCGTGTCACAAACCAAAGTCACTAAGCCACTACTGCTGAAGAATGGGAAGACAGCGGGCAAGTCCACTATCACGGTAGGCAAGGTCACCTGTGCTCACCCTTGGGCCAGGTAGTCAATGCCCCTGCATGAACATCCAGAAGAATATCATGTCCAGGAATACATTCACCAGTCGGGAGGGTATGGGGTGGCCCTGGGTCGGCAGGGTGTGGGTGGAGTCCTACCACCTGTGTCCTCCTTCAGATTGTAGCAGAGGAGGTATCTGGTACCAACGACTATGTGCAACTTACCTTCAGAGCCCACAAACTGGACAACAAGGTTGGAACCCCAGAGTCCAGTCCCCTATGTTCCCTGTTAGAGAGCTCTACACCTCCCACTGGAGACAAATCCCAGAGTCTCAGGCCTGTTTCCTTCTCAGTGTTAGCACCCTCCAGTCCCTCCTTGCAAACTTCATCAGCTCATGGGCCCTCACCTTGCATCCCCAGGACCTGTTCAGCAAGTCTGACCCTTTCATGGAGATCTATAAGACCAATGGGGACCAAAGTGACCAGCTGGTCTGGAGAACTGAGGTGGGTGCCTAGAGCTATGGAAATGGGAGGGACAGAGAGAAGAGCAAGGAAACCGAGAAAGGAGGTAACGAGCTCCCTCCCCTGGTGTCTCTCCAAGGTGGTGAAAAACAACCTGAACCCCAATTGGGAGCCATTCCGCCTGTCCCTGCACTCTCTATGCAGCTGTGATGTCCACCGGCCCCTCAAGGTGAAGCCCCAGCCAAGCAAGCACAACCTACTTGGAACGTCCAGCCTGCTGTCTGAGACCTTCCCCACCGAGTGTGGCAAGCCGCCTCCCTCTCCCCCATGTGATAAGCACTTCTCACTGTGGGATAAATAACAGTTCACAGCTCGATGTTAAGCTTCCCACATGTGTGATTTTTATCAGAGGCCAAAGTCCCTGCCAGATTGAGCTGAAGAACCAAGTTCAGCAGGTAGCTCTCTGGGCCGGTCTATATCTGTGTGGGTCTAGAGACTGTGCAGCTCCTATCACCCTGAATCCCCCACCCAACCTAGAAAGCACCACAAAGCATCCCCAACCCAGATCCCACCTCTCCCCCTCCCTTTTCAGTTCCTGGTGTATGACTATGACTCCAGTGGAAAGCATGACTTCATTGGCGAGTTCACCAGCACTTTCCAGGAGATGCAGGAAGGGACGGCAAACCCTGGGCAGGAGGTGCCACAGAGACCCTACCCCACCTCAGAATCCCACCCAAATTCCTGGGAAAATCCTAAGGGTGACACTGAAGAGACCACCATAATTGGCTGGAGGTGGAGAGGGTGGAAAGTCCCCAGGTTTGGTCAAAGGTTGGAGCCATGGGGATCTTGCTCTAGGAGGCTTTGCTGGAAAGGGGCAAGAGAGGCCACCTGATGGACTTATGACCCTGTGTTTGTGGGGTGCATGTGGTCTAGATGCAGTGGGACTGTATCAATCCCAAGTATCGGGACAAGAAGAAAAATTACAAGAGCTCAGGGACCGTAGTGCTGGCCCAGTGCACGGTAAATTCTTGTTTCAAGTGTTGCCTCTGCCCCTTCCCCTGCCACAATCTGATTCAACCCTTCCCTTTTTTCAAAAGACTAACCATTTCTCTGCTCCTGGGAACTGGGAATCCCTGCCCCATCCTACCCCCAACTGCAACCTCAAAAACTCTGGTCCCTCTACCTTTCCCACAGAAGCTCTATCCAAACTTCTTCCCCAAAAGACCATGCCCCCACCTCATTTTCTCTCCTCCTTCTGCCAGGTGGAGAAGGTGCACACCTTCCTGGATTACATCATGGGCGGCTGCCAGATCAGCTTCACGGTAAAGGCCCAGGGAATGGGGGCACAAATAAGAGGGAGAGTCTAAGTCTGCAATGAGCCCATAATCCCACTGCCCCTACTCATACTTCTTACGAGTCTTAGAAATGTTAACTCACCACACTGAGACTACCTGTGGTCCCCCAGACTCATCTCAGTCCTCCCTACAGTCCTACTCTAGTTCTGGCTAGCCTCTGTGGCAGCTCTCATAGCTACAGCATGATCCTTTCCTCACCCTCACCCTCATCCTCACCAGGTGGCCATTGACTTCACCGCCTCCAATGGGGACCCAAGGAGCAGCCAGTCCCTCCACTGCCTCAGTCCCCGCCAGCCCAACCACTACCTGCAGGCCCTGCGTGCAGTGGGAGGCATCTGCCAGGACTATGACAGGTAAGAGGGAGATGGGGAGGAACAGGAAGGCCAGCCTTGCCCCAGGAGCCCCACAGCCTTTTCTTCTCTCCAGTGATAAGCGGTTCCCAGCTTTTGGCTTTGGAGCCCGGATCCCCCCCAACTTCGAGGTAGGCTGGATGTAGGAGAAGGGAGGATATGGGGGTGTCAGACAGGAAGGAGACTCACCCCCTCATTGTGCTCACCTTATCCACACAGGTGTCCCATGACTTTGCCATCAACTTTGACCCAGAAAATCCTGAATGTGAAGGTAAACTGGGAAAGTCCCACCAACCTACCTCCTACTTGCCACACATGCTTGCTGCGCATGTCTGTACATCTCACACCAGAGCCCAGATTCCGATCCCATGGGCTCAGTGCCCTTTCACCCATCCAAGGCCTGTCTTCACTGGGTAAGACACATTCCCACAGCCCAGAGTCTACCCACACAACTCTTTCAGTCCAGGAAACTACCCATCTTTCTTCCTGTTCTAGTGAGGAAATTGGTGTGGCAGGTCCCAAGAACAGAGGCACCTCCTAATCTCTGCTAGTTACACCTCTTTTTTTTGCCCACAGAGATCTCAGGGGTCATTGCTTCCTACCGTCGGTGCTTGCCACAGATCCAGCTGTATGGCCCCACCAACGTCGCCCCCATCATCAACCGTGTTGCTGGGCCTGCACAGCGGGAACAGAGCACTGGCCAAGCCACGGTGAGGAGATAAAATAGACAAGCAGGTGCTGCCTGTACCCTGTGTGTCCTCAGGTGGCGCCAGAGCCAGGGCCTGGGTTAGGGATAGGCGTCAACATCCTTGCACACAGAGACGACCTTTCTTCCCCCTCTATCTGCCCTCAGAAGTACTCAGTGCTGCTGGTGCTCACGGACGGAGTGGTGAGTGACATGGCTGAGACCCGCACAGCGATTGTGCACGCCTCCCGCCTGCCCATGTCCATTATCATCGTGGGTGTGGGCAATGCCGACTT